TGGAGGGAATAGGTTGTCCAAATGACTCAATCATATCAGGCTAACCAATCCTATCAGTGAACAGTCAAGCACAGACCTAACCCTATCAAAGATTCTGGGAACCCAACTACTCCAAGAAAGAAAAAACAGACTTAGAGAATTCCAAAGACCCACCTACCTGACCTGGAGAGCTGGTTCAAGGAACAGTGACCTATGAAGGAAATCCACGCATTTAAAGGGAATAGCAAGCAATGTTTTACAGAGCTCTCCTGATTATCTGGTGGCATTACAATTCTTCTAGTTCCAAGTTAACCCAATCCAGAAAAATGAGCGTTCTTATCCTAAGAAGAGTAAAAATCTCTAACTTGAAACTACAGAGCTATGTATAGGAGAAAAGAATGGACACACACAAAAAAGGATACGAAAGTTTCCTCTCCTGCTTTTAGACCTCCCTGAAGTCTAAATGGTTCCTAGCTGTCAGGGACTGATTCTCTTTCTTTATCTTTCAACACCCAATAGAATATAGCTGTAGAAAGTGGTTGTAATCCGCTGTTGCTACAGAGATTTTTACTCTACAAATCATATCTAAGCAAGCTCCTGGGGTAACCAAGCAACTGTTCCCCCCCGTAAAATAAAACAGAACTGGTTGTCCTGTGCTATGCCAAGTTTCTGTGCTTTTCCAAGGTCTGGACAGCCAACACAAGATTCAATAAAATGCCCATTCCCAGCCCAGGAAATAAGTAAACTATTTATATAGCCAGAGGTAGTTTCTTCTACATTCCCAACTTAAAACCTCACTTTCCTTCATCCCAAAGACATAGAAAGGCATCAGGGAAGTATATCATGCTAAAATCTCTCCCATGGTCCCTTATATCAAAGTCTATCAGAAGGTGTTACATTATCTGCATAACTACAAATAACAGCTGACCACCACTCCCTGAGGAAATCAAGGCATTTCTAATCAAATGTTTACAAAGGCACAATGCGCACAAAACTTTCATTCTAAAGCCAAGAGTTCTAAAAACTGCATGCAGTTTACACTTCACCCTGCCCTCCACTGCCACTTCAGCGTCTGTCCCAAGCAAATTTTCTGCTTTCTCTACCACCTGAAAGCAAGCTTCTTGACCAATGAGTGCCATGTGAACTGTCCCTGAAGATGCCAGTTTCTAGACTCCAATCTTGTAGCCATCCTGCCTAACAACCACAAAAAAAAAAAAAAAAAAAAAAAAAAAGGTCAATCTAACACAGAATTCTCATAATGAGCCACACATACTCCCATCCATTTCCTGGCCAGGTGCCCAACCTGAGGCTCTTCCTACTCTTTCACTCTACACAAAAGCAAAAATCCATGCACCGTACAGCCTGCCTCAGAGCACCCAGCAGGAAAGCCTGAATCCGGATAGTCGTGGACTTGCATAACCTGAGTTGAGGAAAATAGAATGTAGTATTAATGCAGAACAAATAACTGATCCTAGGAGTGGTGACTACAAACCTTTACATTTCCCAGTTACAGAAAGGACAAGGAATGGCCCAAAAAATGTGCCTCTCCAGGACAGCAAATAAAGTATCTTAGTGGAAATGAATAAGCACCTGCACCCACATTTCTTCCTTATCCTCAAAATTTCTCACACAGGGTTATGAGCTCGTATGAATTCAACACCAGGAGCAGGGCATCAGATACTCCCAGGTCGCATCCTCAAAGATGGCAGGGCAAAGTTAACTCTGCTCTGTTCCCAAGTGGAGCAGAGACTAGCCACATACACAAGGGCTGTCCCACCAAACCCTGCCAACATAAAATAAAAAGAGCTTAGGGTATAAGAAGCCATACTATGATTTTTAAAGTATCAACTAGGTTCCAAAACGAAGGTCGGGTCTAAACTATGGTGATACATTTTTCTCGAAGTTTAAACTTAGGGATCTGCCCTGAGGATTAGACTAGTCGAGCAAAGTCAACTAGTAAGTAAATTTGTTTAGCCAATGTTTAAGGAAGACCTCTCACAGGTCTCTTCCCATGTTTCCCCCCCGCCACAGAGTATGTCCCCTTGCAAAATCACCAAGCTCATATAAAAGAATGATACTGCCCTGGGGCACAGATTTGGCAAGTCAAGTCTACGGAGAAGGGGCCTTCATAAAATAAGCCTCCTTCCACATTCGAAAAGTCGGGATTTCCAGTATATAGATGCAAAATCGAGTCCAACGGGGGGAAAAAACGAATTTGAGGGAGCTGGAAAGCGCAGAGTTGCCACGCCTAACCCACCTAACGATACTGAAAGGCCCAAGTGGTGAGGAAGGGGCCCCGCTGGTACCCACGAGTAGCTATACCCATATGTACCCCATGCCACAAAATACTAAAAAGATCCCAGCCCAAGAAACGTCAAAGGGCCCCGTTACCTTCCGCTCGAGAGCATTCACCGGGAGGGTACACGAGGGTGGTCTTGGGGCGTCAGCCCCCACCTTTTCCCTCTTCCCACGCTCTGACCGACGTCTGGGGAAGCGGAGATCTTCCCCGATCCGTGATCCGGCTTGTGCCCGTCACTTCCCAATTTCCGCTCGGTGCCAGGCCCAGAAGAACAGTGGAAGGCGCGACCCCGGTACACCAGCAAGTCTCTCAGGCGCGTCCCCGGCCCCGTAGCTCGGCCACTGGACGCGGCTCCCACCCAGAGCCGCTTCCTCCCATTTTGTGAATGGTGCCTGGGCCGCAGGGGAGGAGGGTGGTCCTACCCATCGCGCCCCCAACAACTCCGGGCTCGCTCCCGCGGACTGTCCCCCCCGACCCCCAACCGCGCCGTGACCGACCCCCGGGAAAGGGGCGTGGCTAACAAGCAGTGCCCCGCGCGCGCCCGCCCCCAAGCGCGCCTCCGCGTTACCTTTCACCACGTCACACTCGATGACGCGTCCGCGGCGCTCAAAAAGGCTACGCAATTCCTGGCTCGTGCATGCAGCCGACACATTGCCCACGAAAATCTTCCAAGTGTTTAGAGGCCGTGGGCGCGACATCTCCACCACGAGCGCGCGCCCAGGCCGCAGCTCGTGGCCATGCAGGGCCTCGATGGCGCGCAGCGCGCCCGCGTTCTCGCGCATGTGCACGAAGGCGAACTGTTTCATGACGGCGCAGCTCATGACTGTGCCGTAGGGCGCGAAGAGGGCTGCCAGCTCCTCCGGCGTCGTATCCGCTCCATCGACGTTTCCCACGAATATCTTCATTTTGTCGCTGCAGTCGCCTTCCCGGAGAGCCGGGACCTCTCCGCAAGCGACAAGCGAAACGTCCGGCCTGCCGGCAGTCCTCCCAGGAATGGCTGGCGACTGAGAACCCCGCCGCGCAGGCGCTCTAATATAGCCAATCAAGGCTCGCATCCCGCGCGTTCTGCAGCCAATCAGAGAGTCTAAGAAAGATTGTACACAGACACAGCCAATCCCAGAGGGCCTAGCGCCCGCTCGTTAACGGAGGGGTGGGAGAAGAACGACGGCGCGCGACCAACCGCCACTGCCGAGGGGCGGGGGAAAGGAGGGTTGGAGGTGTGGGTACGCGAGCATCGGCAGCCTAGCGGCCTAGTCTCAGAGGCCGCGCCGCCTCTGCCCCGGGTGGAGCTGGAATCCGCAGGCCCCACGGGAAAACTTGGTTCACTCGGAAGTCAGAGCTTCTCCCATCCTGGCAGCTTAGGCCAACCCCGCGCCTAGAGGTGGCAGAGGGAGTGTCCGCGGGGAGGCCTGGCCTGGCAGGAAAAGCCCCGACAAACAAACGCCTTCCCGGCTTCCGGAACTACCGCCTCCAGGCCGTGCAGGGCGATCCAAGGGGATCCGAGGGGCCTCTGCCCGGGGAGGAACCCTCGTACCCTTACAGTGGTTCTCAACCTTCTGGCCCTTTAAGTACAGTTCCTCATGTTGTGACCCAACCATAAAATTATTTTCGTTGCTACTTCATAACTGTAATTTTGCTACTGTTATGAGTCGTCATGTAAATATCTGATATGCAGGATGGTCTTAGGCGACCCCTGTGAAAGCGTCGTTGGACCGCCAAAGGGATTGCGACCCACGGGTTGAGAACCGCTGCTAGAAACACGTTCTCTGGGGTTACTGAGGCCCCGGCAGAGTCTGGACAATAAGAGCACGTCTCTGCCCTTATGGACTTGACAAACGAGGGTTAAAGAGATGTAGCCTTCTTGTGTATGTTTGAAAGTTTCTACATAAGTTTAATAAAATAAAAAATTAGGTCAAAAGAAGGGCCCTTGAGGCAGCAAACGTTGAGCCTTTTAATAAAAATAAAAGGAAAAATTTCAAAACTGACGGATGTATATAAATAAAAATTTTTGTATGGCAGAAGACATCAAAAACAAGTTCATGTAACCAACTCGGGGAAATATTTGCCTACATACTCATTCCACAGGTTTTATTATCTACCATGCGGGCAGCACCAAGAATATAGCAGTGAACAAAAGGTAACAGCCAAAACCGGTTTGGCTCAGTGGATAGAGCGTCGGCCTGCGGACTGAAAGGTCCCAGGTTCAATTCCGGTCAAGGGCATGTACCTGGGTTGTGGGCACATCCCCAGGAGGAGATGTGCAGGAGGCAGCTGATCGATGTTTCTCTCTCATCGATGTTTCTAACTCTCTATCTCTCTCCCTTTCTCTCTGTAAAAAATCAATAAAATACATTTAAAAAAACGTAACAAAACTACCCACCTTGGAGCTTATATTATGGTGAGAAGACAGATCAACAAAACATCATTTGTTGAATAGTGCTAGAGATGTGTAAAGTAACGGAAGGAGCAAGCAAGCCAGAATGAGGAACCATTCCAGTCAGAAAGCCTGTTGAAGGAATTGCAGGAAGCTGGGATGGCTGGAAGTGGGAAAATTGAGTGAATACTAGAGCATAAGGCTAGGAGGGGGGGGCAGGAGGCGTAACCCCTTGTAGACATTGAAATCACTGGCTTTCACTCTTAGGCTGGAAGTCTATGGAGTACATGGGGCAGAGGGGTTCATCTGCTAAGACTTTTATTGTTTTGTAGGTGACTTTTTTTTTTTTTTTGGTGCACTGTTCCCGGAGGTATTGCAATACCAGGTCGATGGGTGGAGTGGACACAGCAAGCTCCTGGTCCATCTCCCTATTCCAAAAATACACTTAATATAATGTCCTCAGATAGAGGATGTGTCAGATATTAAACTGATAAGAACAGATACTACACTTGATCTTAGCCAAAAGGCCCAGAGGTGATAAAGGTAATCATTGCTGCTATTGAAATGGGCAAAAACAAAGAGAAAACAGTTGCTTGCTCAGAAAAATTACCACTACTTCTAAAATACGGTTTGGCTCAGTGGATAGAGCGTCAGCCTGCGGACTGAAGGGTCCCACGTTCGATTCTGTTCAAGTGCACATACCTCAGTTGGAGACTCCTCCCAGGCCTGAGCCCTGGTTGGGGCACCTGCAGGAGGCAACCAATTGATCCAACTGATGTGTTTCTCTCACATCAATGTTTCTCTCTGTCTTTCCCTCTCTCTTCCACTCCAAAAAATAAAAAATACAGGAGAGAGATGATGGTGACATGGATCAAGGTGTCCCAATAGAATTCAGGGGAAGTGGTCAGATTTGACTGTAGAGCTGTGATTGGTTGTAAATTGTGAAAGAGGAATCAAAGATGACACTGAGCCACTGGAAGCATTAACTGAGATGAGTAATATTGCAGGAGAAATAGATTTTCTGTGGAAGACCAGAAATTCTATTTTGGACATGATAAGTTTAAGATGCCTCTACTTAAAGTTGTGCAAACAGCCAAGTGGAGATACGAATGGCAATTAGATATGTATCTGCAGTTGAGGGCAACTGTACAAAAAACTACAAGTTTACATGGGAAAAAGATGAAATAAATGAGCCAAGGATATAAACTGGCAATTCTATAGGAAAAGAAGTGCAAATGAGGCATATAATACTTGAATTAAAAAAATAACTACAAATGGCCAATAAAAAAGGAACTCCATTGGTAGTCTGAGTGCAATTTCCTGAAAAAATGAGAACATTTTTCACCCCTCAGATTTGCAAAAATATTAGATTTAAATCTATTGCTGTTAAGGTGTGAGGAAAGTACATTCACACATTGCTAATGATAGTGTGAACTCTACATCCTTCTTTTTTTTTTTTTTTTTTTTTTTTTTTTTTTTTTTATTGCTTAAAGTATTACAAAGGGTATTACATATGTGTCCATTTTATCCCCCCGCCCTAGACAGTCCCCTAGCCTCCCCTATCCCCCAATGTCTTATGTCCACTGGTTATGCTTCTATGCATGCATACAAGTCCTTTAGTTGATCTCTTACCCCCCTACCTCCTGCCCCGCAACCCTCCCCGGCCTTCCTGCTGCAGTTTGACAATCTGTTCGAGGCAGCTCTGCCTCTGTATCTATTATTGTTCAAAAGTTTATAATGGTCTCTATTATCCATGAATGAGTGAGATCATGTGGTATTTTTCCTTCATTGACTGGCTTATTTCACTTAGCATAATGCTCTCCAGTTCCATCCATGACGTTGCAAATGGTAAGAGTTCCTTCCTTTTTAGAGCAGCATAGTATTCCATTGTGTAGATGTACCACAGTTTTCTAATCCATTCATCTACTGATGGGCACTTAGGCTGTTTCCAGATCTTAGCTATGGTGAATTGTGCTGCTATGAACATAGGGGTGCATATATCCTTTCTGATTGGTGTTTCTGGTTTCTTGGGATATATTCCTAGAAGTGGGATCACAGGGTCAAATGGGAGTTCCATTTTCAGTTTTTTAAGGAAACTCCATACTGTCTTCCATAGTGGCTGCACCAGTCTGCATTCCCACCAGCAGTGCACAAGTGTTCCTTTTTCTCCACATCCTCTCCAGCACTTGTCGTTTGTTGATTTGTTGATGATAGCCAGTCTGACAGGTGTGAGATGGTACCTCATTGTTGTTTTGATTTGCATCTCTCGGATGATTAGTGACTTTGAGCATGTTTTCATATGTCTCTTGGCTTTCTGAATGTCCTCTTTTGAAAGGTGTCTATTTAGGTCCTTTGCCCATTTTTTGATTGGATTGTTTATCTTCCTTTTGTTAAGTTGTATGAGTTCCCTATAAATTTTGGAGATTAGGCCCTTATCAGAAATGACATTGGCAAATATGTTTTCCCACACAGTGGGTTTTCTCGTTGTTTTGTTCATGGTTTCTTTTGCTGTGCAGAAGCTTTTTATTTTGATGTAGTCCCATTTGTTCATTTTCTCTTTCATTTCAAGTGCCCTAGGAGCTGTATCAGTGAAGAAATTGCTTCGGCATATGTCTGAGATTTTGTTGCCTTTGGATTCTTCTAGAATTTTTATGGTTTCCTGTCGTACATTTAAGTCCTTTATCCATTTTGAGTTTATTTTTGTGTATGGTGTAAGTTGGTGGTCTATACATCCTTCTTGGAAACTATTCTGGTAATATCAAAACTTTAAAATGCAGTAAGTCTTTAGCAAAGTAATCCTACTGGAAATCTAGCCTACAGAGAACTCATCAATAAAGGTATTGGTATAAATTTATTTATTATAGAATTTTGTAGTAGTAGCAAATGTCCATTAATAAGAGAATTATGCCCTGACTGGTTTGGCTCAGTGGATAGAGCGTCAGCCTGCGGACTGAAGGATCCCAGGTTCGATTCTGGTCAAGGGCATGTACCTTGGTTGCAGGCATATCCCCAGTAGGGGGTGTGCAGGAGGCAGCTGATCTATGTTGCTCTCTCATTGATGTTTCTAACTCTCTATCCTTCTCCCTTCCTCTCTGTAAAAAAAATCAATAAAATATATTTTTTTTTAAATAAGGGAACTAGGTATTGCCTTATGATGGAGTATTATATTGCTATTAAAAATAGTTCAAAATTTATTTTTTTAATATATTTTATTGATTTTTTACAGAGAGGAAGGGAGAGGGACAGAGAGTTTGAAACATCGATCAGCTGCCTCCTGCACACCCCCCACTGAAGATGTGCCCGCAACCACAGTACATGCCCTTGACCGGAATTGAACTTGGGACCCTTCAGTCCGCAGGCCGACGCTCTATCCACTGAGCCAAACCGGTTAGGGCAAAAATAGTTCAAAATTTATTGATATGAAAGATTAACAATAATTTAAGAAGGTAAAAATACAATGCAATTGTATAATGTTATATCTTTCTAAGCCATAGGGGGAAAAGCCTTTCATAGATGTGCATATTTTTTTTAGTATAGAGAAATAACATTAATTAATCAAGGTAATGAGATGAGGAGTTAATTTTTATACATTTCCATATCATTAGACTTTTAGCAATAGCATCTAATTCTTTTATAATTAAAAAATAAAATAGCTCTGGCCGGTTGGCTCAGTGGATAGAGGATCGACCTGTGGACTGAAGGGTCCCAGGTTCGATTCCAGTCAAGGGCACATGCCCAGGTTGACAGCTCCATCCCCAGTAGGGGGCGTGCAAGAGGCAGCCGATCTATGATTCTCTCTCATCATTGATCTCTCTCTCTCTCTTTCTCTCCCTTCCTCTCTGAAATCAATAAAACTCACTTTATGATGAGAGACCCATTCAGAACTGGAGAAGGGAAAGGAGTTGCCCACCATCAAGCTGGTGGTAGAACTGGAGCTAAGTTGGTGCCCTTTCTATTACCCAAGGTCAAGGAGTTAGAGACACATTGAAATCGTGATTTGCCAGCTGTGTGAATGTGAGCAAAAGTCTTCACATCTGTGAACCTCACCTCCTTCACTTGTAAAATAACTGGCCTTCTTACAAGATTTATTTTTTTGTGGTAAAATATACATAACATAAAATTTACCATTTTTTAAAGGTAGCATTCTATGGCATAAAGTACATTCATAGTGTTGTGCAACCACCACCACCACCACACTCCATCTCCAGGACCACGTCTATCTCTCCAACCAAAAATCTGTCCCCGTTTAACACAAACTCCCCATTCACTCCTCCTCTCAGCCTCTGGCGTCCGCCATTCTTCTGTCTGTATGAATGTGACTATTCTAGGTATCTCATGTAAGTGGGATCATACAAATATTTGTTCTTTTGTGACTGGCTTACTTAGCATAATGTCCTCAAGGTTCATCCATGTTGGAGTATGTGCCAAAATTTCCTTTCTTTTTTAAGGCTAAATAATATTCCATTGTATGTAGGTACTACATTTTGGGTTGTTTCTCTTGGTAAACACTTATGAACCACAGGTTGTTGTAAGCACTAAACAAGGTACAATAAAGTATTTAGCACCCTATAAATCATGGAGCTATTAGAAAAATAGCTATACTACAGAATTCTAAGTCAAATAAAAAGAACCTATAGAACCTCAACTAGAATTGTAGTAAGCACCCGCTGTCTGCCAGGCCATCTTCTAATTTCTAAAACAACATTCAATTAGAATTATAATGCCCTATATGTGTTTAAAGACAAAAATAAAGATCACTTCTCTTGGTTTTCACCATGCCTCATACCCGGAATGGATCTATTTCTGTGATAACGATGCCAGACTTTCCCTGATACTTTCTCTCTCCTCATGCGGGAGCCCAGAGACATAACTAGCCCATCATGCTGTGCCAAATGGCCTTAACTATAATAAAAAAGAGAATCAAAAAGAAAGACATTGCTAATTAAATAATGTCTATGATATGAAATATCTATGATGAACTATATCTTCTGGTCGGCTACACATGCAGACTAATACAGAGACATCACATTGGCAACTCAAAGAGTATATTGCCATTGGCAATACCATTTTCCAAAATGGTGAACAGCTTTTTTTTTCCCCCAGCAATACTTTGGTATTTTAAATTTATTATTTTATCGAGAGAGAGAGAGAGAGAGAGAGAGAGAGAAACATCAATTTGCAGTTCCACTTATATATACACCCATTGGCTGATTCTTGCATGTGCTCTGACCAGGGATCAACCTTGGCGTATCTGGACAACACTCGAACCAACTGAGCTACCCAGCCAGGGCAAAAACTCAATAATCCAAACCAAACAAAGAACAGGAAAGTTAATTGTCTATTTAAACTGTACCGGAAATGCTGTTTTTTTTAAATAAATAAAATAATAAATTCTAATTATAAACATGTTTTTCACATACAAGTATATCTGGTGGGACATTTGAAAGTTGTGCAGAAAATGGAACGGGTCTTTATTACGCCTGACTACCCTGCACATTGCAAGTTGGCAAGGATGCCTAGCTTTCCCCCAATACATGCC